ACTAATACAAAAATAAAATCTAATTTTCTCTTTCTGTTTTTTTTTTGAGACAGGATCTCACCGTGTTGCCCAGGCTGGGGTGCACTGGTGCGATCTCAGCTAACTGCAACCTCTGCCACATGGGTTCAAGTGATTCTCGTGCCTCAGCCTCCCAAGTAGCTGGGACTACAGGTGCACGCCACCATGCTCGGCTAATTTTTATATTTTTTGGTAGAAACAGCATTTCACTGTGTTGGCCAGGCTGGTCTAAAATTCCTGGCCTCAAGTGATCCCCCTACCTTGGCCTCCCAAAGTGCTGGAATTAAAGACATGGGCCACCAAGCCCAGGCAGTTTTCTCTTTTAAACAAATTTTTCATGTAGTATTAATAAAAAATAATTTTTAAAATTTTATTTACCTTCTAAATAAACTACAAAAAACAAAGAGGGGGAGAGGGAAAAACAGATTCAGTATAACTCATGGTGTCTTTATTATGTCTTATAAGTCTCCACCAAGAGTAAAAGGTTTTGCTTTTTAAAAGCTTTAAATTATCACGTTGACTAAATAAATGATATATTTTAGTGGCCTATAATCTTGTTTTAAACCTTTGATATCTGACATATTTCCCCAAATCAAAATTTCAAATTCAGTTTTTTTTACCTCAAACTTTTTAGATAATAGGGCCCCTAGAAGTCCAAGAGAAACATATTAGCCTTATTCAGTATGTTAAAATCAAATGGAAATCATTTAAAAAATGGTGCTTAACTTTCTCTGCATTACATTTATATAAATGTGTTATTAACATATGTTCTAAATCTGTATGAGATTCCTAAAGATTTGAAATGTCTTCATATATATTATCAGTAATAATTATGATTATGTTAAATTGATATATGCCAGTGAAATAACCAAATTTCCTTGTCAATTGTATAACTATTCTAAGACTTTTGTTGTCCCTTGACAATTATTGTTTTACTTTGATTCTTCTCAAAATGCAGTTTACAATCAGGTAGAGTCCAAAATTTGCTTTTTCTTCAGAGAAATTAATAAAAAAGACCCTGATAAGTAGTTGTAAATACAGGTTTCTGGTAACTTTATAGATCAGACCATTAGACTAGGTGAAAACTTTCAGTACTCTAGTTAAAAAACTGATGTATTCATGAGGACTGCTAACCTAACATCCAGCAGAATAAGAATTAATTACATGGAATTACATTAGTAAAAGACTAAAGTAATTTTTATGACTTTAAAAAAAATGCTGTGTTTGCCAGAGTCAAAAAACTTTTTTTTCTTTTAAACTACTTATAATTTACAATTGAATAAAATATACTTTGTGAACAAATTTAAAACATTTATCTAACTAATCTCTCCAAATTTAAAAACTATTTATAAATATTCTTAACTTATCAGAATATAATTGTTTAGATAAGTTCAATACACATCTGTTTTCTTTGTAACAGGACACAGTTAGAGACACTGGTTATTTTACCAAGGCTGTGACTAAAATAACATATTTTCAGATGCAACCAGACTACTTTAAGAAATTAAAGTTGACTTTATAAAGTCAACAAGAAGACCCTTGCCTACAGAGTTCCTTTACAAGCTTCCTGACCTGTGATAAACAAAAAATGTAACTTTCTGACAGGCCAAGGGACCTCAAGTTATTTTATGATATTAAAAGGAGAAAGATTCACCCAATTTGTTACAGGTATTAGAGTCTGGTGGCAAATCCTTGGCTTAGCTTCCTGGCCTTGAGGCTTTTAAAGGTCTAATAATCTAAGATTCCTTATTAAAAAGTTCCAACAAAACTAATCTAAAAAGAGCCTATATGGCCAATCGCTATTCTTACTACACTTTATACAAATAAGCAGGCCAAGTATAGTAAGACTTAAACTTATTTTACAAATAAATTGATCCTGTATGATTTATCTTTGGTAAAAATGGGAGACTAGAGAAAAAAATATGTTTCAAATAAAACTATAGCACACCTGTTTAAATTAGATTCTAGCCTCATTCACTGTTGTTTTTATTACTTCTCTAATATTTAGACTAAAACCTAAATTCTTTCCTGGATACAGGTTTCCAAACTAACATTTTCAAATTTTTCTTCCATTTTTGACTTTAAGTCACTGCAAGTTAAAACTGTGCTTTTCTTAAAGCCCTATAAACTGAAACTAGACAACTTAAACTTCAGGAAAAATCACAAGTTACACACAAACAGCCTTCATGCCTACTGATGTATACACTACTCAGAAAGTTCACTATTTCAATAGTGATTTGAACTATAATCCAGTAAAGTCTGTCAGATTGCCACTGCAATCTGAAGATACTTCAAGGACTCTACAAAACTCTATATACTACTCCAGACATTAACCTTAGTTTTTTTCTTCTGTTTCCATAAAAACACCTCCTATTAAAGATCTGTTTGCCTTCATCATACATAGAGGCCTAGTGTATCTACAATGCCACCTCCTAAAATGGGACACAAATGTTTAAACTAATCCATTCTTAGGACTATGACCAAAAAAGATACGGGACAATGTATTTAAATTTACTCTTTTCTGCTTACCTAAATTTGTTTTCTCACTTCTTTGTCTATCTCAAATGACCTCTGGCCCAAATGGCTTTTAATATATAAAACTTTCGGAAGTTTTAAAGTGAGGACGGAAATTAAAATATTTTACCCCAAAATATACTTCTCTGACTTATTTCTCACAGGCCTCTAGATTAGGCCTATGAGACACAAAGTAAAATGACACAGTGAAAAAGGCCAAAAAGAAACTTCAAAATTATTTTTCTAATAAAATACCCTTTGAGAGAACCTTCAAAATTATGTCAGCCTCGAAGACAGGAGGTTGCCTTAGAAAGGATTTTCCTATTATTTGAAGGGAAAAAATAAAATTAAGTATCATGTAACAATAAACAAGGCTAGCAGACCAACTTAGGAAAGTGTATAATAGGACCTCATTTGAATACAGAGATCCAGGGATTAATTACGTAAGTTGACCAAGGAACTTCAGAAATGAAGGGGACAGAATCCAACCCATGCTGCTCGAAATCAGAAGTTGGAAAACCTGTAGGTATATATTAGGGTATCCTAAGCAAGGCTGGCTATCAAGAAAAGACACCAACGTCTTCAAAAAAGAAATTATCAGGAAGCACAGAAGAGTCACAATAGGTCAAAACTAAGACTGCAATTCTCAAACTTTAGTATACCTGACAACTGCCTGGTAACCTTGTTAAACATAAACATTTCTAAGCTTTACTCTAGAGATTCTGACTGAGTCTATCTGGGTAGGCCTTGGAATTTCTACTTTTAATGAGTTATCCTAAGTGATTTTCCCACCATCCTGAAGAGAAAAAGGAATGCTGACCTAAGGATTTGCAGGGGATTCTCAAGCACAGAAGGAAGCTTAAAGCCTCTTGTAGGAGGAATGGCTGAGCTAAATGGGTTACGACTGGGACGCTAATGACAGAAGCTCCACTGTGTCCTGTGAGACTTCGACCCTGCAAGGGTATCAGTGATTCCCATCTGTCCGCATGTGCAAGCCATCCTTCAACAGTGATACCCTGCACCAGTAGGAAGCAAGAGCAGTAGTAAACTAATCAGACAATTCAGTTTTTGCCTCCCTGTGGAGTTTGTAAGTAAAATTAAACACCTGGAATGAGTAAATCTATGGAGTTCTTGGACTACTGTGAGGAGAAACATGTATCAAAAGGAAAGTATAAACTTTATGTAAGCAAGAATGACTATTTGTATCCCATGTTGATAATGATAAAGTACACTAAGAAATTCCAGGCAAATAGGTTTACTTATTAAAATTAAACATAGACTTTCCTGCATCATACCTCTCCTTAGCTAAAAACATGGCCTATTTCTCACATTCTCACTGCTCTTATACTGAAGAGGCAAGCGATCCACTTTGCCTTTGAAGCATTCACTTTACAAAACCAAAACACAGCCAGAGCTAATTTGGGGGAGGGGCCTAAAGCTGTCTCAGTCAGCCTGGCATATGAAATGTCTCTAGCTTTCGAAACGAATTCACACTGTTGACCTGTTATAGCTTAATTTGGAATTCTATTCACAACAAACAGTCCAATTTCATGATTTGAAACCACAGACTTTCTGGAGTTTTAACCCAATCTAGTTTCTAAAATGAGATCAGATGGGCACCACTCTATTGAGATTACAAAGATAAACAGCAGAGCAGTAAAAACTTGACCTCTGAAACCCTTTCCCTCACTACTGAGTACTGAGGCATCAGAAAGGAAGGCACAAGGGTAATGGCCCTCTTTTCCCCAAACATTAAGGATCTACATCTCTTGGTCTTGCCTTTTTAAGGAAGCAGGCCCACTTGGCTAATTCATTTGAAATTCAGACAAGCTGCGGCCTCCTGAATCATAAAGCACTGGAATCACAGAGTCAGATGGAAGAGGCCTCAGGCTTCAAGCCACCAACTTTAGCTCAATATTCGAGTCAACTTGGCTCTCCTGGCTGAAGACAAATTAGTCTCCCTCAAATAAAATGGATCAGGAGGAAATGAGATCATTGGAAATGTCAGACGCAGCTTTCAAAAGTGAGCCATTTAAGGTTTGGCTCAGGCATAGGAAAACTCCCCCGATTAGTTTCTGGCCAGCATCCTTTCCCTACAAAACAGCCAGATCTCAGTGAGGCAGAGAACACAGTAGTTCTCACTGGGGGTTAAACGGACAGGTTTATCATTACCAAGCTATTAACCTGCCCTGTCAGAAACAGACCTAATTCTATTCCTTCCTCTATTCAGATAGTACATTTTCCTTTTCCCATGCTCTTCGGAGCTAAGCTGCCTCTAAGTAGAGACTATGCCCTCCCTGCATTCTTAAAGACTGTTTCAGAAACTATCACCACAATTTGTCAAACTAAGACAGTTAGGTGAGGAAATAACGATTTGGGTCTTAAGGCCATCGCCAGACTCTTATCTTAAAGGAACAATTTTCAAATAACGCAGGTACCAAAAAGATAACAGTAGTTTTTCTACTTACCTTAATACAGCCAACTATTGTAGTTGTAAGAGCAGAATTATACTGCGTGCAGAGTACTGTGGCGTACATTAAGATAAACCTAGAATGAAGGAAGAGGTACAAAATCCAGTTTCTTACTTTATAGTAATCTCTAGCTAAGATAAACAATCAGTGTTGGCCAGGCCAGCACATTCTAGTCACTGACCAGCTATGAATTTTCCCCACCTCACTGCTTGTTATACTGCAGCTTCAGAATTTTTAAAATTTCACTAAAGAGAAACACATTCATCTCCTTACCAAGTATTTTTCCTTGCTGCCCTCATCAAAACCCTGAACCATCTCTTATAATCATGACTTTTTATAGATCCAGCTTCCTACTAATACGCCTAAGCCAGACAGAAAGCTCAGAGCTCAGAGACCCTAAAACGCAGTTGTGCACCTTCCATAAGGACAACATGTCCTCTGGGCCAGATGGAGGCAAGAGAGATCCTTAAATATTGAAGAAAACCAAATTAAAACTACTTTAAGAGGAGATACAAAGCCTCTGATTTACACTGAGGCTTCTGAGCCTGACAGTACCAAGGCATCAGGTCAACTTTATTTTGAAGCACCTGCTCACTGTGTGCCAAATCCAGTCACAAACAGCAACTAAACTGACTAGTTGAGAAAAAAAAAAACACATTAGAGAAACATGGAGGTGAGGAGAAGAGGCATGTTTGCAGGTATCCTCTCATCCTCTACGTATTCTCTTCTATGAAGAAGAAAACATAGTAAAGAGGGGTCAAACTGCCCCAAATTCAAATGCTGCCACTGCCACCTACAAACTGTTCAAATTTAGACAATTTACTAAAGTTCTATCTGTCAAATGGTCAGTATAGAGATAAAACTATATAATGCATGTTGAAATATGATGGTGCTTACTAAACAGCAGGTTATCAGGTAAACTGTTTCTTTTCTTCATCCTTCTAAGGTATCAATTCAGTAGCCCTAAGAGCACACTCCCAAGGGCTATGAAACCACCTGAATCTGGAGGCTTAATTATCCTAGGCTGACACACGCAGGAGACCTAAAAAGATACTGAGAAATGAGGCACGCAAATTTCTCTAACCTATTTCTTTAGGAAAACTATCTGCTAACAAGGTAGCAAAGGCTTACCCCATCACACAGGAGAGGGTGAACTGCAGAAGAAAGAGGGTGTCGGCCCAGCCTTCAAACTCCACAGCCTGCAACACACAAGAAAGCATTAAATTTTAGACCAGGCCTTCAAAAACAGCTATCCCATTTTAATGTAAATCCTTCTATGAGTCTGCCTCCAACACAGACACAGACACACACACACACACACACACACACACACACAGATATACATTTCCCTGAATTACTCCAAGGATAGAGAGTGATATTCAAAGATTTCATGTATACAGAGTTGAAATAGTAAGTCGTTTCATAAGATTTTCTCTCATCCAAAATGTAACGTGGGGATTTTACACTTCTCACTATTGGTGCAAAGAAACTGACATTTCCTTGAAGGCACAAGCCATATCTGGCTAATCTCAGTTCTTTCAGGTGGCTATTAATGTGCTAGTACTAAAGGCTTTCTCAAACATCAAAACACGTTTCCTTTCTGTAACAGGTGAAAGCTTAAATACGGCCTTACTTATACAAATTCAGCTGAGGTCTATTCAAGGAGAATTAAAGTTTTAAAACTGTTAATTCTAAAAACAAGGTATTTTGTGGTGGTGGTGGTGGTGTTGTCTGTGTTAAGCCAAAAGGAAAGGAATAAACAGAAATGAAAGGGCACACTGATAATCTCATCTCTTGTCCAAGAGGAATGGATTCTCAAGTACCTAGTTGTTTTTGCAATAGGAGTTTGATAAGCAAATGTGAGAAACATTCCACCTTTTATCTCTGCCAACCTGTCCAGCTTCAACGTTTGCTACTTCCACATAAACCTCATGATACCAGGGCTCCAACAATACCAGGCTCCCTGTGGCTTATAAAACATAACATACAGTTTCCTACTTGCATGCCTTTGCCTAGAATGTCCTTCCCCTCAACATTCGTCTGACTCCTGTTCAGCCATCAAATTAAAACTCAAGGCTCCCTTGTGGGGCCTTCCCTGATCAAATACTCCTTCCTTTGTGCCTCAGCACTCCTCCCTAGAGTTCTTGTCCCCTGAACTGTAAATCTTTCCATACCATGTCCACAGACTGAGCTCCCTGGAGGACCCACATCACATTTATCTAATCACACTCCTAACAGGGCTTGACAGACATAGACAGTTTGTTTATAGTTCTTTGTTGAGGTAGAATATATGAAAAATAAACTAATTTTAAGTGTTCAATTCAATGAGTAATCACAAATGTATAATCATGTAACCACCATTACAACCATGATAAAGAAATCAACTCCTTCCAAAGTTCCCTCCTCCCCATTGACAGTCAATCTCCCCTCCATTTCAAGCCCCTGGCAACCTCTGATCTACTTTCTGTTACTATAACTTCACTGTTCAACAATTTCCTACAAGTGGAATTGTATACCATGTACTCTTGTGTCTTCCTTCTCTTTCACTTGGCATTATGCTCCTGGGACTCATTCATCCTATGTATGTATCAGTAATTCATTCACTTTTATTGCCAATTAGTATTCTATATTCTATCTTGTGGGTATACCACAATTTGTTTATCCAAACACCAGGTAATGGACATTTATTTGGGTTATTTCCACAAGTTATTATGAACCTTTGAACCTTCGGTTACAAGTCTCCCAATTGACATGTTTTTCTTTATCTTGGGTAAATAGCTAGAAAATGGGATTGCTGGTTCATTTGGTTAGGTATATCTTTAACTTCGTAAAAAATTGTCAAACTGTTTTCCAAAGTAGCTACATAACTTTGTATTCTCACTAGCACTATAAGAGAGTTCCCACTGCTCTATATTCTCACCAACACTTGGAACTGTTAGAGGCCATTCTTACAAGTGGGTAAATGGTATTTTGTAATTTTAATTTGCATTTCCCTAAAGACTATCAAGTTGAGTATCTTTTAATGTGGTTCTTTGACATCAGCATTTCTTCTTCGGTGAAGTGTCTAAACCTTTTGCCAACTTTTTTTTTTGAGACAGAGTCTCGCCCTGTCTCCCAGGCTGGAGTACGGTGGTGCGATCTCAGTTCACTGCAACCTCCGCCTCCCAGATTCAAGCGATTCTCCTGCCTCCGCCTCTCAAGGAGCTGGGATCACAGGCACGTGCCACCACACCCAGCTAATTTTTGTATTTTTAGTAGAGACAGGGTTTCACTATGTTGGCCAGGCTGGTCATGAACTCCTGACTTCAAGTGATCCCCCTGCCCTAGCCTCGCAAAGTGCAGGGATTACAGAGGTGAGCCACCACCCTGGCCTCTTTTGCCAAATTTTTATTCACATTATTTGTCTTCTTATGATTGAGTTGTACAAGTTTTGAAAAATATATTCTGGATAAAAGTCCTTAATCATATATATGTTATGCTACACATACACACATACATCAAATACAAATATTTTTTTCCCAGTCTGTGACTTACCTTCCATTTTCTTTATTTCTTTAAGACAGAGTCTCACTATGTCACCCAGGCTGGAGTGCAATGGCACGATCTCGGGTCACTGCAACCTCCGCCTCCTGGTTCAAGTGATTCTCCTGCCTCAACCTTCCCAGTAGCTGGGATTAAGGTGCATGCCACCATACCCAGCTAATTTTTGTATTTTTTAGTAGAGATGGGGTTTTGCCATGTTGGCTAGGCTAGTCCTGAACTCCTGACCTCAAGTGATCTGCCCACCTCAGCCTCCCAAAGTGCTAGGATTACAGGCATGAGCCACTGCGCCTGGCCTCACCTTGCATTTTCTTAATAGTGTCTTTTGAAGAGCAAAAAATGTTAATGTTGATGTAGTCTTAAGATCAATATTATCTTTTATAATTCTTGCTTATAACTTTTTAATGAGACGTGGGTGTAACCAAAAATCAAAGATTGTCTCCTATCTTTTATTCTAGTTTTATGGTTTAAGCTTTTACGGTTAGGTCTATGATCCTTTTAATATTAGTTTGCCACAGCTGCCATAATAAAGCACCACAAAACTGAGTAGCTTAAATGGCAGAAATTTGTTGTCTCACAGTTCTGCAGGCTAGAAGTCCAAGATCGAAGTGTCTACAGGGTTGGCTCCTTCTAAGAACTGAGAGAGAGAATCTTTTTCTTGCCTCTCCCCTAGCTTCTAGTGGTTTGTTGGCAATCTTTGGTATTTTTTAGCTTGTAGAGGTGTCACCCTGATGTCTAACTTCATGTTCACATGCTGTTCTCCCTGTGTGCATACCTGTGTCTTAATTTCCCAACCCCGCCTCCCCCCCCCGCCACTGGCCCTTTTTTTTAGGCAAGGTCTTGCTTTCTGAACCAGTCTAGAGGATAGTGGCATGATCGTGGCTCACAGCATCCTTCAACTCCGGGACTCAAATAATCCTTCCACCTCAGCCACCTGAATAGCTAGGACTACAGGGGTACACCACTGTACTTGGCTACTATTTTTTAAATTCTTTTGTAGAGATAGGGTCTTGCTTTGTTGACCAGGTTGGTCTCAAACTTCTGGCCTCAAGTGATCCTTCCACCGTGGCCTCTCAAAGCACTAGAATTATAGGTGTGAGCCACCCTGCTGGCCCTTGATTTCTCTTTTTAGTAAGGACACCTGTCATATTGAATTAGAGACCCACCCCACTCCAGTATTACCTGATCCTAACTAATTACACTTCAATCATCCCATTTCAAAATAAGATTATATTGTGAGGTACTAAGGGTTAGGGGTTAGAATCTGGAAGGGGAGGGACACAATTTAATATAACACTTTTCCTGATAAATGTTTGTATATTCCACAAGGTCATAGTCAAGGTTCACTATTTTGCATACAGACATCAAATTGTTCTACCAACATTTGTTAAAGACATTATCTTTTCCTCATTGATTTATTTTCACACCTTTGACAAAAATGATTGCCCACATGGTATATTTCTATTTCTAGATTCTCTGTTCTATTTCACCGGTCTGTCTACTCTTAATCCAATATCACAGTGTCTTGATTACTGAAGCTTTATAAGAAGTGTTGAAATCAAGTAGGATAAATCCTCTAAAACTGTTATTTTTGAAAACTGATTTGACTATACTAAGAAGTCCTTTGCCATTCCACATAAATTTTAAAATCTGCTTGTCAATTTCTACAAAAATCTTCCAACAGAGTTGGGGTGGTGTTGAATCTATAGATGAATTTGGTAAAAACTGACAAATTAATATCAAACCACCTAATTAATAAACATAAAAATCACTTATTTAGGTCTTTTAAAATTTATCTCACTAGTGTTTTGTAGTTTTCAGCATACAGGAAACATACTGTACTAAATTAATCCCCAACTACTTTATAATCTGAAGGTATTACAAATGGTATTTTTTACTTAGCTTCCAAGTGTTCACTGCTATTGTGTGGAGCTACAGTTGATTTTTGCATATTGATCTTGCACTGTGCAAACTTGGTAATTAGTTTCAATCACTTTTTTCTAGATTCTTTTAGATTTTCTACATGTATCATGTTTTTAATATACACAGTTTTGGTTCTTCCTTTCAAAACTATATTATACAGATGAAGTTCTACAACATAACACTGAATAGAACACTATATGAGCGCAGACATCCTCGCCTTGTTCTCAAATCTTAGTGAAAAGTATTCAGTCTTTCTTTCACCATTAAATATGTTAGCAATAGATTCTTTGGTAGATGTCCTTTATTACGCTGAGAAAGTTCCCTTCTATTCCTAGTTCATTGAGAATTTTATACTCACGAGTGGATGTCACATTTTGTCAAACAGGTTTTCTGAATCTATTATAGTTCTACTATATTCTTGTTAATATGGTAAGCTGCACTGACTGATTTTCAAATGTTAAACTAACCTTAATTCCTGAGATAAACACAATATGGTCATGATATACTGCCCTTTTAATATATTGCTGGATTTTTTTGTACTATACTTTCTCCCCCCTTGTAATGTTTTTGTCAGATTTTGGCAGAAGGTAATCCTAGCCATATAAAATCAACAAGGAAGTGTTCTATCTTCTGTTTTCTGGAAGAATTTATGTAGAATTATTATTATTTCTTCCTTTTTTTGTCAAATTCTCCAGTGAAGCAATCAGGGCCTGAAATTTTATGTAGAGGAAAGTTT